CCAAAAGCATAAGTGACAAGAGAAAAAAGATAAATTGGTCTATAGAAAAACTAAAAGCTTCTGTGCTGCAACCAATATTCTCATCAAGAAAATGAAGACAATCCATAAAATGGGAGGGGGTATATGCAAATCATGTATCTGACAAGGGATCTGTGTCCAGAATATATAATTCAACAGTAAGAAAGCAAATAATCCAATTTAAAAATGGGCAAGGAATTTGAATATTTTTTTTCAAAGAACATAAACAAATGGCCAATAAGCACAGGAAAATACTCAACACCATTAGTCATTAGAAAATTGCAAATCAAAACCAAAATGAGATACCACTTCACACCCACTAGAATGGCCACAATCAAGAGAGATAATAACATTGTTGACAGGATGTAGAGATATCAAAATCATTTTACATTGCTCATGGGAATGTAAAATGGTACAAATGCTCTGAAAAAAGGTCCTTTAAAAAAGGTCCTCTTTAAAAAGTTAAACAAAGTTACCATATAATCCAGTGACTCCACTCTTTTTTTTTTTTTACTCCACTCCTCCATACCCAAGAGAAATGAAAGCATAAATCCACATAAGAACTATAGATGAGGGCACCTGGATGACTCAACTGGTTAAGTGTCTGCCCTCAGGTTCCAATCTCAGGGTCCTGGGATCCAGCCCCATCTCGGGCTCTCTGCTCAGTGGGAAGCCTGCTTCTCCCTCTGCTGCTGCCCCCTCTGAGTGTTTGCTCTCTCGAATAAATAAAATCTTAGAAAAGGAAAAAAACTTGGTAGACCAATGTTCATAGTAGCACTGTTCATAGCCAAAAAATGGAAGGGAGGGGGACGTGGTAGGGAATGTCCATCAATTGACATACGGATTAAATGTGTATATTCATACAGTGGAGTATAATCAGCAATAAAAAGGAAATAAATACTGACATACTATAACATGGATGTATCTACTGATGGGCATGGAACTTCTAAGGAAATTGAAAATGTTCTAAAATTAGATTGATGGTGGTTGCACAAATATGTGAATATACTATAAAACACTGAATTGCATACTTTGAGTGAATCTGATGGTACATGAATTATATCTCAATAAAGCTTTTTTAAAATAGGCAAATGCTGAAAGTAGATGTGTCCACAAAAGTACAGAGAGAAATAGAAGACAGAATGAAAAATTATTTGATCATTCTAACATGTAGCTATAAATCTAAAAATGAAGATGTCTTACAACTATGGAGCTAAGAAGACAGCCACTCTCTTTTCAACAAAATCATTTGCTGTCAGTTTTCAAATAATTCAAGTATTTGCATTTTACGGATTTAAGTACAAGAACCAGAAAGTAATGTTAAAGTAGACCCTATTAGAGAGGCATTTGAAATCTAAAATCAACATTTACAAGATGGACACGTTCCAGATTCATAAATGATGACTGATACTTACATTTAGAAGACAATGCTCTCATTAAGTACATGTCATCAAATCTATGAAAATACGAAACGCGGTTTGCTTTCTCATTACTTAAAATTCTGATTAAGTTGTTTACCATCCTTTTACTTGTTCAAGTGACTTAGAAGCATTTTAAAAAAACAGATCCATGGGGCACAGATGGTAAATGGTGTTACTTTTTCCTAGTATACTGAATATAGATATTGGCTGAAATTATTTCTTGCCTTTGGGTATTTTTGACTCATGTTCATATCTTGTCTCCTCTGACATCTCTTTATGATTTTGCCCTTCCCAAATTGAGGCATAAGAAGATTGTTAAGATGTCCTTTTTGTCTGAAATCTTTGGGTTTCCTTCACTTTATAGAAGAATAGGAAAAATTAAGTTTATTTGACATTCTCCAAATTTTAATTAATTCAAAACTATTGTTAGGAGCTTTTAAAAATCAAAAAGAAAAAAAAAACTTGGAAAATCAAAAGTTCAGCCTGCCTAGATTAAATTATGTGTAAATAAAACGTGTTAATAAAAATGTTTCAATGTTTCTTATTCCATTCAAGCTGCTGTAACAAAATACCAGAGTTTAGGTAGCTTATTATCAACAAAAATTTGTTTCTCACAGTTGTGGAGGCTGGAAGCCCAAGATCAAGTGCTTAGTGTGGTCAGATGAAGGCCCTCTTGCAGGTCACAGACTTTTCTACATATCCTCACACAGTGGATGGGGCATAGGAGCTCTTTGGGATCTCTCTTATAAGAGCATTAATCTCTTATGAATTAATCTCATTGAAAAATAAGCTTATCAGATACTGTAACTAGCACGGCAGTGAAAGTCCAAGACAATGACTCCTGGATTCATGTTTCCCAACTAAATGACAAATATCTTCTCCAAACAGCTGGACCACCACTCTTGTCAGAAGACTTTCAGCCAGTGATTCTCAGGGATTCTCTGGAAGCCATTATTTTTTTTTTCCAGATTTTTATTTAAATTCCAGTTAGTTAACATAGAGTGTAAAATTGGTTTCAGGAGCAGAATTTAGTGATTCATCAGTTACAGATAAGACTCAGTGCTCATAAGTGTCCTCCTTACAGAAGCCATTATCTTTGAAGCTAATCAAACCCACAGGTCCAGCGGATAACAACAGAAAATGAACTGCCTCTGCCCGAGGCCAAAGACATGATTAATTTTTTTTAAAGATTTTTTATTTATTTATTTGACAGAGAAAGATCACAGGTAGGCAGAGAGGCAGGCAGAGAGAGAGAGAGAGGGAAGCAGGCTCCCTGCTGAGCAAAGAGCCCGATGTGGGGCTCGATCCCAGGACCCCGAGATCATGACCTGAGCCAAAGGCAGCGGCTTAACCCACTGAGCCACCCAGGCGCCCCCAAGATTAATTTTCTCATACCCTTGCTCTTTACCCCCTTTTTGTTTATTATAGCGTGGCACCTCCTAGAGATAACCCTAAAGGTTTCTCAGTATGTTCTTACATATCTGTATCATTAAAGGATTTTATTCTTAATCCTCTATGGTCTTCTTTGGTCACCTTAAGAAATGCAAAACTTTTCCATTTTCTCAGACCACAGCTACCCTTTGAAACTGTCAAATTCCACTATAAAAGATGTGATTATCTATCCCTTTAAACTCCTGAGATCAATTTCCTCCCAAATATCTCTTCTGATATTTGAATTTTCCTCTTCATCAGTAGCCCCAGACTTCATTCATGTCAAAACTGAAAAGTTTTCTCCAAGTCAACAAAATGCTTCTACTATAATCATAACAGCATTGTCACCAGAACCAGATTCACCAGGGAAGAGAACGAATGCCAGAGCTATTCTCACTGCACTAGTCATTTTCTCCAAAGGTCTCCCAAACTTCTAGGCAGGAACTAAACTCCACCGGCAATATGCTCAGCGCAAGGAAACAATTGCTGGCTCATTTCAGTCGTAGTATCATTTATATTCCTAGCATTATCTGTAACTCACCAGGGATTACTTAGGTCTACATCAGGCTTTTGCCTGCCTCCTAAACCCAAACCTATCTTGCACACAGGTAATTGTTAAGAAGCTTTCAGATATTTAAAGCCCATTTCTGTTCCCGGTAGCATGTTTCCTTGGGAAGGATAACCAGAGACTTCCAAATGAAGCAGGAATTGGCTACACAGGAGAGTTCTCAAAAGTGTTAATTCTTGAATACAACTAGAAAAGGTGGTTCAAATTTTGACGCATGCTGTATAAGCCCAACAAACTAGTCTAAATTCACTACCCAGGACTGTCATGGCAATGACACAGTCTTCTATTTCCTCTTGGCAAGCCAAAGGGCAGTTCGCATTTATTATATTATATATAAATGTCTATAAAAATCACTTGACAGGTACAATTGTCTTTGACCAAGCTAAAATCTTTCACGGACTCTATAGAATAGACCCACCTGAACTTTGGGGTATGTTTTTGTAGCTTGGGTTTTGTAACCTAGGCTCCTGGCTTTGCATTCTAGTAGAATACTCATTTTGCTTGAGAATTTTATTACAGTTGGCAGATGCTTTCTGTTCTGAGCCTTAAATCCTGTTGTATAGCCACTGTCAAGTCACATGATTCAACAACAGTCAACAATTATTAACATGAAGACCTGAGACTATGTTAGAACTACCACTGGATACCTGATATCTAATTATAACCCAGAGAAGAGCAATACTAACCTGGCTTGACCACAACTCCAAAAGATAATGGTCGATCCTTCAACACAGACTGAAGAAAGACCAGAAGAGAATTGAGAAGTGAAAAAGAAACTACAATTTGCAAAAACATACAGCTTGCAAAATGTCGAAGTCTACCAAACTTTGACAACACAACAAATTGCCTAAGCTCAAACTCTTAATGCTAGCTCAATCAGATTCGTTTCAAGATAAAACCATAAATTGATGTAATGATATTCTGCATAGGCCCATGTGTTTTAATGACATTAACTGCACCAGCAACTCTCTAGTTTCCAAATTTTCACCAATCCTTGCCAAAATGTTTTAAAACTAATCAGAGGCCCCAAACTCCTATATGTACCCTTCCTTTGGAGATACCCCACAGTTCCTCTGGTATTTGTACTCACTTGGTGCAGCAAGCTAATGAGCCTAGCTTTGCTTACTTGGTTTTTTTGGTCAATGAATGTCACTAGTATAAGTAAGTCAAAGACTCCCTTCTGAATGAGACACAATGGCTTCAACTTAATAAGCAAATGTACTAAAAATCCTATATTCTACACACAAATGCCTCAGAACATTACCACATTACCAGAATGAAATAAAACCTCATCAGTATTTAGCCATAGCAATTTTGTCAAACAAGTAATTATGTATGAATTTGCAGATATAAAACTGACAGCCAACGTGTGTTAATGGAAAAACTTGTAATCTTAAGAAATACAAACTGAAAATAATCTTTCTGTACATAAAAATGTATATTTGATACGTTTTTCAAAAAGTCCCCCAAATTTTGATATAGCTGATTTTAAGTTAATTACTCTAGCAAACCACTATAATACTAAATGAAATATTATGAATGCAATGGCATTTGGCACATTATTGTGAATATGCTTTATTTTTAAGTAAAAAATGAATCCTAGCCAAAACAAAGTGTTTGCCTCTGCATATTTTAAGCTTAAGGGAGAAAAACTCATTAATAAGGAACATATTTTCATTTTTCCATGTTTTTAATTTTTTATGAAGATTTTCATTAAGCTTCAGTCAATAAGCAGTTTTTAAACTTAGGCTTCATGATTCTTTTGACTTCGTACTTTTAAATGGAGGCATTTCTCTTCAAAACATGACAAATTTCAGAATCCATTAAAAATTATTTTATTCAAATTATGTTTTCCAAAAGAGAGGGTTCTGTGCTAGTCGTCTTTGAAAGTTTTCATACCTACAAAAGAAAAAAACGTATTTTTACAAGAAATTATATCTTTCCTAATCTACCTAATGACTTATCAAAAAGCAAACAGCGAAGGATCACTTCTAAAAAGCTAAGATAAAAAATAAAAAAGCTAAAAAGTTAATCTCATAGATGAGTAGATGAGAGAAATTTGCTCAAGGTCACATACCTACATTTTAACAAGGCTCAAACCTAATACCTTCCAGAGCTATCCAAGCTACACCATGCTACCACTGCTCAACAAATTCTTATGTATCGCCCACCACTGGGATATTCAACGTGACAAGAATACCTATAAAACAGAATCATGGGAAAGCTAGGGAAATCAATTTTCTTAACCATTTATGTACAGGGTGCAGTAAAAATCATCCTGACGCCTTATGCATATCTACTTCAGACCAAGACTTTCTAAACTTACCAAAAAATTGCTTTGTATTTCAAAACTCATATATGGTTACTAATAAATAAAAATATTTTAAAATTTACAGCCTTAATTGTGGTCTCTACACATAGGCAGTTGTATTTTCTTGTCTTTATAAATTCAAAATAGCTACTACATAACAAGAGTATTTAGGGTAAGAACATTCCCTGATGTGAACTCCATAATATACTTTTTAATGGCATGCCACTGTTAATGTATGCTGATGTTCACAATAGAAGAGTATGTTTAAATGTCAAAGAAATACATTTACCAGCAAAAAATATGCATGGTTACTAAAAGCCTTAATATTAGAGATACAAAATGTCCCATACCATTTCAAAACCACATTTGCTGGAATGAACATTTCAGATGGACTTGGTGTCATCTGGGCCTGAGAGACAGCAAATGATGAAGCAAAATTATAGAAGTTGTCCAACATCTTTTGTGTGAACTGGAAAATAAATAATGAATAGATTAATGAGTTATACTGAATATTCTACTTACACCTTAGTATTTTTAATTTAAAATGTTCCTGCAGTGTACTTGGTTTTAAGTACTATGAGTTTTAAACAGTCTAATGCTGTAAGTTAAAGAAAGTCATAAAACAACACTGTGGCATAAAATCTTAACAACCTGCCTTTAGTACTTTCTTCAGATCTCAAAGAATTTCTGTGGTTTTTAAATTTTAATTTCCTAAGATATTCATTTGGGGGGGAAAAAAGGAAGAAAATGTTTTTCCTTCAAATACTCTCTTTTTTCTCTCCCTCACCATCTACTATGCCCCTCTCCTTAAATCCCAGCCTACTTTCTCATATAAAATAGTAAGAAGTCTTTTTCTTGCCAGAAAGATAAAAGCCTAAATACAATGAGAGGAAATGCCTTATTAGCTTTTATCTTTTTGCTTAATAATATCAAGGTAGTTTAATCCAGGAGGCTACCATTAAGTTACTTAGACTAAAATCCAGAGTTCAGTAAAATCACTAACTAAAAAATCAATATCAGAAAGAACAAAAATCAACAGCAACCCTTAACACTAACAACAAAATTTTAAAATGCAACTTTTTATTTAAAAGATTTAATTCAGGGACGCATGGGTGGCTCAGTTGGTTGGATGACTGCCTTTGGCTCTGGTCATGATCCTGGAGTCCCAGGATCGAGTCCCGCATCAGGCTCCCAGCTCCATGGGCAGTCTGCTTCTCCCTCTGACCTTCTCCTCGCTCATGCTCTCGCTCACTGTCTCTCAAATAAATAAATAAAATCTTAAAAAAAAAAAAAGATTTAATTCAGAGGGACACCTGGGTGGCTCAGTCAGTTAAGTGTCTGCCTTCAGCTCAGGTCATGATCCCAGGGTCCTGTGACTGAGCTCCGCATCAGGCTCCTTACTCAGCAGAGAGCCTGCTTCTCCCTCTGCCTGCCGTTTCCCCTGTTTGTGCACTCTTGCTCTCTCTGACAAATAAATAAAAATCTTTTAAAAGATCCAACTCAGAATAAAAACAAAATCTTTAATACCTAGGAAAATATTTCAGGACTGTCTTGAGAGATAGGAAAGAAAACAAACTAAACGACCTATACACCACATTCAGTGAAAAGATACATGTTCACAGATGGGAAGACATGCATAATGGAAGCAATTCTCCCCCAAATTAAACCTATAAGACCTCGGGGCACCTGGGTGGCTCGGTGGCTTAAAGCCTCTGTCTTCGGCTCAGGTCATGATCCCAGGGTCCTGGGATGGAGCCCAGGGTCCTGAGATGGAGCCCTGCATCTGGCTCTCCGTTCAGCAGGGAGCCTGCTTTCCCCCTCTCTCTCTGCCTGCCTTTCTGCCTACTTGTGATCTCTGTCAAATACATAAATAAAATCTTTAAAAAAAATAATAAAGCAACTATAAGACCAATGTTATTTCCAACAAAATCCAATAAAATTTTTCATAAAACTCAGTAAGCCGATACTAAAATTAGTATGCAGAATACATAAGCTTATGTTCCTAAGTAAGAGGAGGGACTTAGGCCTAGCAGATATTAGTAAGACTTTTACTGGGAAAGGGACAGGCAAACTAATTGGAATAGAACAGAGAAACCAGAAACAAGTCTAAACATATGACAACATGATATACAACAAAGATGCTATTAACTCAGAGTTTAAAAAAGAAAAAAGACTAGCTTTCAATTAAAGCTTTAGTACTTAAGAGAACATAACACCTTCACACATTAGGATAACATAGGAACGACTTAGCCAATGCAAAAAAAAAAAAAAATAATAATAATAAAAGAAACAACTGATTGTCTACACAAAAATATAATGTCTGCATGCAAAAGATAACAAAAACAACATTAAAAGACAAGCAACATGCTAGGAGAATTACAACATCTAGGACAGAAGACTATTACCCAGAATACATAAAGGCCTCTTCCCAGAAAGTTAAAATTAAGAAGTGCCAAAAAATACAATAGAAAATTGGGCAAAATATATAAATGGTCAATTCCAATTAAAAAAAAAATACAAATGAGGTCAAGATGAGAAAAGATGCTCAACTTCACCAGTCACCAAGAAATACAAACCAAAACAACAGTGACATTCAAATTTCACCCAGCAGTTTGGCAAAAATTTAAGGTCTTAAATATTAGTGAGAATATCTATTAATATGGAAATGAAAAAACTGTCTCATTCATACAATGACATACTATACAACTATACAAGTCAATTAAAATAGACTAGATTTATTCCATGTATCAAGACAGGTAAGTCTTAAAAATAATGCTGAGTGAACAATACCAAGTTGTAGAAATCTGTACAGTATACCATTTATAATCATTTTAAAAACATGCAAAGGGGTAGTAAGTCAACAAGAATGGAAAATAGAAGAAAAAAAAAAAAGGACTGCAACAGAGAAGAGAAATGAAAAGAATTTCTACAATAATGGTTAAAGAAAAGAATACCTTGACTACAGTTATGCAAAAGACCCAGAAAATAATCCACAGAAGAACAAAGAAGAGTTTCAAGAGCGATGTTTCCAAAACAAATTTAAAATTGCTTTTTAAAAATATACTGAACAGGAATTTATACTGTGGATATAGCAATCGACACAAAGGAAAAAAATGAAGCATTTATTAACCAAGGAAAATAAAAAGTCATTCTAGAAAGGAAATGTAACCATAGTACTACACCTGGCTCAGTTCTGAAAAATATTTACCTGATCATAATACTGAAAACTCTAAATATTAATTTAGTGAAAATCTATAATAAGAAGGTGTGGGGACATCTGGCTGGCTCAGTCAGTAGAACATGCAACTCTAGGTTGTGAGCTCAAGCATCACAATGGGTGTAGAGATTACTTAAAAATAAAACCTTTTAGGGGCACCTCGGTGGCACAGTCAGTCAGGTGTCCAAGTCTCAGTTTCAGCTCAGGTTGTGACCTTGGGATCATGGCACCGAGCTCCCTATCAGGATCTGCCCTAGGCCTGCTTGAGATTCTGTCTCTCTTTTCCCTCTCCCTCCCTATCATTCTCTCTCTAAAATAAATAAATAAATCTTTTAAAAAAATAATATCTTTAAAAAAAAGGTAGGGAGAAAAGACAACTCTGAATGCTGGAAAGCAGAGGAGTGAGAGCACTAAATCACATTAGGTATGGGGAAGTCGATGGAAAACACCTATAGTAAATAAACTGGTTGAAAGGAGATTAAGCAAGTTTCTTCTGAAACATGGAAGTAAATACAAGAAGAAATAGGTAAAGAAAAAAAAAGTGGGAGAGGCTGAAGGTGACTGCTTTTGAGGAACAGAGTAAGAGCAGAATATAAGAAGTATTAACAGGACAACTGTTCTGCATGTAAAACCATCTGATGTTTTAAGCCATGTACATGTACTATTAATAAAAACTAAATGAAGTAATAAGAGTAACTAAAAGTATATATTAGAAACATGTTTTAACAAATAATGCCATACATATTTTGTGGATACTTATGAATGTTTCTTTTAAAGTACTAACACAGGATGGCAAAGATAATTTGGTTAGAAGAGTAGCTAACTGGGGAAGAACTGGAAGAAGAGAAACACGCCAGCAAGCTGTATCAGAAATACCTTTTGTTTTCTTTTTCATTAGTAGCAAATATGGCAAATATCAATTAAATCTAGGTAGAAGACACTCAGAAGTCTTCATATATACTGCATTATAAAGTGAGCTCTATAAGGACAGCTATTATGTTGTCTAGCTATTTGTATCTGTTCATGCTTAGAAAACTCCTGGCACGCAGTAGGCATACAATAAATACTGGAGGAATGTACTTTCCCACATATGTAAAATATTTCATAATAAAATATTTCATAAAAATATGTATGATTTTAAAAGCTCAAATATTTTACATAAAAATAGAATAAAAAGTCTCCTTGCCTGTTTCCAGGGATAACATCACTTTGGTATGCATTTTTCAGACATTTTTCTAATACAGTCTATATGGGATACTACTAACTCCTGCTTTACAACTTGCTTTTTCAGCATAGCAGTTTATTTTTTTAATTACTGGGAAGAAAAAAGAATTAAGACCCAGATTCTATCATTCTTAACTCAGCCTGTTCTCAAGAAATCATGTGAGAAGTCTGACTTTAAATTCATGGCCACAACCCTCAAGAGTATGGGGCCCAGCAAACTCATAAGGGGTTCCCTAGTCCATTCACCCTCCTCCTCTCCTAGAGGACTTGGTTAATAATCCTTTTCTTTAAATTTCCAATACTCGGGCGCCTGGGTGGCTCAGTGCGTTAAGCCTCTGCCTTCGGCTCAGGTCATGATCTCAGGGTCCTGGGATCGAGGCCCGCATCGGGCTCTCTGCTCAGCGGGGAGCCTGCTTTCTCCTCTCTCTCTCTATGCCTGCCTCTCCGCCTACTTGTCATCTCTCTCTCTCTGTTTCAAATAAATAAATAAAATCTTTAAAAAAAAATAAAAAATAAATAAATTTCCAATACTCCTTTCCCCCCAATCTTAGCTAATGACCTTGTTTCTGGTTTCACTGAGCAAAGTGAAAGTATCAAGAGAAAATGTGCACAAGTTCTCATCACATTTAACAACCCTCCCACACCTGTATTCATATAGCCATGCATACTATGCATACTATGCATTATCCAATCTCATGTGCTCTCATTTCTATGCAAGGAGTTCAGCAACTCTCTCCACTCTCCTGCAACATTAGCTTTAATGCTTCATTCTCATCAAACATGATGTAATTATCTCCCATTAAAAACAGTAAAAACAAAAAAAAAATAGTAAAAACAAAAAAATCCTTGTCCCACTGCCCCCTCAAGCAACCAAACCATTTATTTGCTACCCTCTGTAACCACACTCATCAAGAGTCATCTATATTCACTGTTCCCACTTCCTCCTCTCCAACTCACTCCAAACTCCCCTTCTACTCTCTAAACTCTTTTCTAATTTTTTAATGACTTCCATCTTGCTGAGTCCACTGGATACTTCTTAGCCCTCATCTTAACTCATCAGCAGTGAGATACTATTGAGGCTTCTTGCTTCTTAAAAACCAGTCTTTGCTTGGCTTCCAAAACATCACTTTCTGGGTCTCCTTCTACTTCAGGCTGCTCTTTTTCTTTGTCTTCATCTCTTCAGCTTCTCAAATTTGAAATGGCCCTGGAGCTCAGTCAATAGCCAATTTTTCCATTTAATTACTTCCCTAGTAATCATACACGCTTCAAAACTTTGGATATTATCGTTACACTGATGACTCCCACATTTTTATCCATATCCCAGAACTCTTTCTTGAACTCTATACTTGTCATCTCCAGCTGGATATCTAACAGGTATCCCATAGTACAACCAAAAATCCAACTCCTGATTCCACTCCCAGCCCATACTTGCTCTTTTCAAAATATTCCTGTGTTCAAATTCCTCAAGCCAATATCCTTGGGCTATAATTGATGTCTCTCTTTAATCTCAGACCTTTCATATGATCCACATCATGAAACACTACTGGCTCCATCTTCACATTAGTTCCAGAAATCAATTACAGGCATACCTCGGACATATTGCAGTTCAGTTCCAGACCACTGCAATAAAGTGAGTCATATGAATTTTTTGGTTTCCTAGTGCACATAAAAATTGTTTACACTATACTGTAGTCTACTAGGTGTGTAAATAGTATTATGTCTTTAAAAATGTACATACCTTCATTAAAAAATACTTTATTGCTAAAAAATGCTAAACATCATGTGAGCTTTCAGCAAGTCGTAATCTTTTTGCTGGTAGAGAGTCTTGCCTTGATGTTGATGGCTGCTGACTGATCAGGGTGGTAGTTTCTGAAGGTTGGGGTGGCTGTGGCAATTTCTTAAAATAAGACAACAATGAAGTTTGCCTCATGGATTGACTCCTCCTTTTACTTGAACCCTTAGAAGCCACTGTAGGATAATTAATTGGCCTAATTTCAATATTGTTGTGTCTCAGGAAATAGGGAGGCCCAAGAGGGAGAAAAACGCAGAACAGTTGGTAGGTGAACCAGTCAGAAAACACATTTATCGATTAAGTTCTTCATCTTATATGGGCTGTTTGTGGTGCCCCAAAAGAATTAACAATAGTACTAAAGATCACTGATCACAGATCACCGTTACAAATACAATGAAAGAGTTTGAAATGTTCCAAGAATTACCAAAACATGACAAAGAGATACAAAGTGGGCAAATGCTGCTGGAAAAATGGCACCAACAGATCTGCTCCATGCAGGGTTGCCACAAACCTTCGGTATGTAAAAAACACAATACTAGCAATGCGCAATAAAGTGAAGCGCAATAAACGAGGTATGCCAGTACTTTTAATTACCTTCACTTCCACCTCCCCAAATTTCCCTGGTTCAAGTCATTATCATCTGTCATCTAATGTTCACAAGAGCCTCCTAACTGACTTCTTTCTTCCCACAACAGTGTCTACCCAAAATGCGAAAGTGATCCTTTAGAAATAGAAGTTAGATCCTATTACTCTTCTGCTCAAAACTCTCTTATTTCTTCTCTTCCAAACAGAATTTGAGTCAAAGTTCTTATAGGGGACCCTGGGTGGCTCAGTCAAATGTCTGCCTTCGGCTCAGGTCATGACCCCAGATCCTGGGATCAAGCCCGGCATTTGGCTCCCTGCTTAGTGGGAAGGCTGCTTGTCTCTCTCCCTTTGCCCCTCCTCCTGCTTTCATGTGCACATGCTCTCTCTCTCTCTCTCTCATAAATAAATAAAATCTTTTTAAAAAATTAATCAGAATCCTCATAAAAGCCAATGAGGTACCATATGATTTTATCCTGCAGCCCCCTCCCCAATTATCTCCCATCTCTCACCCTTGCTCACTCTACTCCAATCACAAAGACCTTCATATTACTCTTCAGATTTCTACCTTAGAGACTCTGCATTAGCTACACCTCTACCTCCATTATTCTCCTGTTCAGGCCTTTGCCTGAAAGAGGTTAAAAGTCAACCATCACAGAATTATGTCACTTTAAGCTCCATGAAGACAAGGATCTTGCTTATCTGGTTCACAACTGTATACCCACAGCCTAGCATACTAACTGGGAGGGAATAAGAAAAAACTATATTTAATCCCATTTTTAAATCACTTTAATAAAAACAAGTCTCATCAAAGCATTTACAAATTTTAAAATACCTATAGAAGAAAGCAGGCAAACTTAAATTATCCATGGAAGCCAATAACTTACACCATACATGTTTACTTTCTTTTTTACATGTTTTCAACCACCAGGTTAGTTTTTAAAGTACAGAATTTGGAGGGTACCTGGGTGGCTCAGCTGGTAAGGTGTTTACCTTCAACTCAGGTCATGATCCCAGGGTCCTGAGATTAGACCTCTATCAGGCTCCCTGCTCAGGGGGAGCCTGCTTCCTGCCCCTCCCCCCTGCTCATGCTCTCTCAAATAAATAAATAAAAATATTTAAAAAATATATAGAATTTGGTTTAAAAATTTTTTTGGAAGATAATTTGCACTGCGTTACCTGAGTGAATGAGTCAACTGAGGATACAGCAGCATTGCCTACTGGAGTCTGCTGAGCCAAACTGTCCAATAATTCCACTGAAATTCCAATCTGAGCAACAGATGGAGTCCGGACAATATTCATGGCTCCAAAAGGGTGTTGGCTTCCTTCTCCTGAAAAAAATTAACATGTACCACAAATTTCAAATTTAACTTGTAGCCATAAAAATTCCTTTGTTAAGTATGTGGAAAACCTCTGATCTGCGTTCACTAAAAAATTGTTATATGAACATTTGTCTCTTTTCAAAAAAATGTAAAAGGCTAGTTTTTATCACATTAACAAAGAATAAGAAAACTAAAATTTTCCCCACCAGAAAAACAGCTGTTACTTTTCAAAAACATATTACAATTAATGTAGGTAGAAACAGAAAGTAACAGAATAAGAAAAATAAATAAGCATTAATTACATTTAAAAATTCTCAAAGCTAACTCCAAAGAAAGGATATTTTTAAAGATTTTTTAAACTAGTTTTAGCATTTTCTCATTATTCCACTAAAGAAAGATCTTAAATTACTACTATTACTGATAAATGACATGTCATATTTTACTAAATGTCATGAATCACCCCATATAACACCTGATGCTATCAAACAGGCAATAAAAAAGCTTATCACAGAAAATAGTAACTTTTTCCCTTTAAAAATCAGTGTGGGGGCACCTGGGTGGCTCGTGGGTTAAAGCCTCTGCCTTCGGCTCAGGTCATGATCCCAGGGTCGTGGGATCGAGCCCCGCATCAGGCTCTCTGCTCTGCGGGGAGCCTGCTTCCCTTTCTCTCTCTGCCCACCTCTCTGCCTACTTGTTATCTCTGTCAAATAAATAAATCCCCCCAAAAAATAAAATAAATTAAAAATCAGTGTGTCATTAAGTATACACCTGAGCCTGTAAATGCCATCTAATTTCTATGGGGAAAATAGAAGCCAATTTCTTTAGTCTACATAAGACAATCAGAAAAGTTAGTCTGAAGGAAAAAAAAATTATAAAATAGATTTTTGGTTATCTGCTGTTTTCATAGGACTATAAAATGTTTAACCAAATACAGAAGAACAAAAACACATATTCCTAATAACTAGAATACTCCTTACAAATATCAAAACTCTCCTTAAATTTTCAAGCATATGAATAAAAACTATTTATTCTTCTGTGATTTAAAAATACACACACACCTGTCACTAAATAGGACTGGTTTAAAATAATTTTAGTAATTTTAAATTAACTGTTTAATTATATTTTATTATATTTCCATATATTTATGAATTTTCTAGATTTGTTATTTCTATCATTGTGTTTAGAGAACATACTTTGTATGATTTCAGTCTTTTAATATACTGAGACTTGTTTTACAGTAACCTAACATATGGTCTATCCAAGAAAATGCTCCATGTGCATTTGAGAACAATGTGTTCTGCTGTTGTTGGGTAGAAAGTTCTATGTAAGTCTGTTAGGTCTGGGTGGTTTATAGTGTTCAAGTCTTCTATTTTTTTTTTTTTTTTAAAGATTGTGTTTATTTATTTGATACAGAGAGACAGAGAAGAGAGGGAACACAAGCAGGGGTAGTGAGAGAGGGAAAAGCAGGCTCCCTGCCAGACAGGGAGCCCTAGGCAGAGCTCAATCCCAGGACCCAGGGATCACCTGAGCCAAAGACAGACACTTAACTGAGCCACCAGGTGCCCCTCAAGTCTTCTATTTCCTTGATGACCTTCTGTCCAGTCATTCTATCCATTACTGAAAGTAGGGAATTGAAGTTTCCAATAATTATTGTTCAACTATTTTCTCCCTTCAATTCTGCCAAGTTTTGCTTCATGTATTTTGAGGTTCTGTTGGTAGGTGCAAACAAGTTTATATCTGTTATTAACTTTCTGATAGATTGACCCTTTTATCATTATATAATGTCTTTATTGCACATAATAATTTTTGTCATACATCTATTTAGTCTGACTTTAGTCCATCCACTCAAGCTCTTTTAGTTACTGTTTGTATGTATCTTTTTCCATCCTTTACTTTCAACTATTGTGTGTCTCAATCAATAGTTGGATTATGTTTTTTTATCCATTCTGCAAATTTCTGCCTTTTAACTGGAGAATTTAGTTTTGTGTTAAATAGACACTTGCTAGTGTACCATTTTAATTCTACCATTTCTTTTACTATATATTTTTTGTTTTCCCCTTAATGGCTATAGTAGGGATTAGTATAAATTTCTTAATTATAACAACCTAGTTTGGATGAATGCCAACTTAGTATCAGTAGTAGACAAAAACTTTGCTATGTAATTTCTCTCCCTATGTGTTGTCATAAATTATTTTATACATAGCATGCCCATAAATACAGGTTTACAGTTTCCATTTTTTAAGGTCTTATTTGAGAGAGCAGAGAGGGAGAGAGCAGGAATGGGGGGGGGGAGCAGAGGGAGAAGCAGACTCCCCACTGCGCAAGCAGGGAGCCCAATGCTGGGCTTGATCCCAGGATCCTGGCATCATGACTTGAGCCAAAGGAAGACACTTAACCAACTGAGCCACCCAGGCACCCTACAGTTTCCATTTTACAAAGTTGTTTTTTTACATCAAATAGGGAGGGAAAGAGTTATAAACAAAATGTACAATACTGATTTTTATGATTCCTGTATTCCTGTATTCCTTTTGCCTTCATGGGAATTCAAATACTGTCTCATACCCTCTCTTTTCAGTCTGAAGGGCTGTCTTTAGTCTCTCTTATAGGCTAAGTCTTGGAGTAATGATTTTCACAGTTTATCTGACAATGTCTTCATTTTTTTTTTTTTTTAAGATTTGAGAGAGACAGAGCACACACACACACATGGCAGGAGGGGTAGAGAAAGGGAAAGAGAACCTCAAGCAGACTCCGAGCTAAGCATGGAGCTCAATGCAGGGCTGTATCTCATGACCCTGAGATCATGACCTGAGCCAAAATCAAGAATCGGACGTTTAAATGACTGAGCCACCCAGGAACCCTTCTTCATTTGATGGATACTTACAAAAGAATTGACAAGTTTTTCTTTCAGTGCTTTATACCATCCCACTGTTTTTGGACTCCACTGTTAATGGAAACCAGCTGTTAATCTTACTAAGAATCTTGTCATTTGATGAGTTGCTTCTCTTGCCATTTTCTCTTTATGATATGTTTTGGTATGGAGCTTATCCTACGTGGAGTTTACTTAAATTCTTAAGTGTGTAATGTTTCTCATCAAATTCAGAAAGCTTTAGGGCACTATTTCTTCAAGTACTCTTTCTACCCCATCTCTCTCCTCCTTTTGGGACTGCTAATGTGCATATGTTGGTATACTTGACGGTGTCTGAGAGACTGTTCATTTTTCTTCTTTTTCTTTCAGCTTTTCAAGTTGAAAAGTTCACATTCTTCAAGTTCACAGATTCTTTCATCAGCCTACTCAAATCTATTGAAAACCTGTAGTGAACTCCATTTGCTACTGTACTTTTCAGCTCTATCACTTATATTTAGTTCCTTTTTATAATTTCTCTATTAATATTTTCTATTTGATGGCATCTTATTTTCCTGGTTTCCTTTAACTCTCAGTAAATCCAATGTTATACGTTTCCTAGGGACAGATTCTGTTCATTTCTTCTCTGAAAGGGCCATGTATTCTTATTGCTTTGCATACTTCCTTTTTGTTGAAAACAGGATGCTGAATATTGTAATTCAACAAATCTAGAAATCAGGTTCCCCCCCTCAGGGTTTATTGTTAATATTTGTTGTTTCCTCAATAACTTCTAAACCAATACTGTGAAGTATTTTTTGTCATGTGCAACAAGTGAGTGACATTTCTATTGGCTTAGTGGTCAGCTGGTGATTAGAAAGATATTTCCTTAAAAGCGTGGAACCCAAAAATTCTCCCAGTCTTTGCAGATGGGTTTTATGTTTGGGACATCCCTTTAATAACAGCCAGGTAGTTTTTCAACTCTGCATTAGCCTTCACTTCCTGCTTATGTAAGCCCCAAAGTTAACCAGAAGTGAAAACTTAGAACCTTTTTAGCTCTTTCCTGAGCATGTGCACAGCCCTGTGTACTGTCTTTGAGGTTTCCAAAAATTTCCAGGTCCAAGAACTCAAAGCCCTTATTCCCCAAAGTATCTTATGCCAGGGTACCTGAGTGGCTCAGTCGGTTAGATATCTGCCTTCAGCTCGAGTCATGATCTCAGGGTCCTGGGATCAAGTCCCACATTGGGCTCCCTGCTCAGTGATGGGTCTGCTTCTCCCTCTGCCCCTCTCCCCTGCTCATGTACTCTCTCTCCCCCTCTCAAATAAATAAATAACCGTAAAAAAAAAAAAAAAACACACACACAAGGTATTTTATTCCCAGCCTTTCCTCCCAAGCTTTGTAGTCAGCCTATTTTTGCCTCATTCGTTGTCAGTCCATCAGGCAGCAATGACAGGTATTTTTGCAGGTAAATATTTTTGACAAATACTCCCAGACTGTCAACTCTACTGAGATAAAGTCTTTTCAATTACTCTTCAAGGGAGTGTGCTTCTCCCTCTCTTTGACCCTTCCCCTTCAAACTCCCCTCCACCCAGCTCATGCTCACTCACTCTTGCTCACGCTTTCTCAAATATTTTTTTTAAGTGTGCCAACCTCTGCTCTAAGTAATTCCATCACTCTTCCATTTTCTTATTATTTCAGACTTTTTTTTTCTTTTTTTGCATGGTTGAGAGCAATTGATGAGTAATGATGAAATAATTCCTTGGATGAAAAAGCAAAATGTTTCACAATATAGGAAAAACAAGATTACCAGTATCATCAAATGCATTTTAGATTTGTAAGATGGTCCGGCAGATTCATATAGTAATTGCAAGATAGAATGACTTTTTAAAAATATACAAGCAAATGTGGTCTCTATTCTTTAGAAGACTTCTACAACGGAATAAAACTAAAAAACTAAAAGGAAATCCACTGGTAAAGATACTCTATGTGTTCATGGCAACAGAGATGACTAAAGAAAACACTATGACAAAAATAAGTAATTCACTATAAAGTGGCATTTGAACATGACATATGCAAAAAAGCTACATAAAACAGCTTAACTATGCCTGCATAAAAGGCTTCTTGGTATTAAATTAGAAATCAAATATATATTTCTAAAACCTCTTTACT